AGCCGACCTGTGACAGTCTCATTGTCACAGGTCGGCTAGAACTATGAGGTGAATGAAAAGCACTCACCTCATAGTTCTCCTTTTAATGTCACTTTAAAAACTAATTTTACATGACATATTCTTTGATATCTCTTCTGGATAATGGCCCTATGTAGTAGATGTACAAAAAATGGGAATGCGAGGTGTAGTTTTTTTAAAGATTTGCAGAAAAAAATTTGCTGAAACAAGTGAATTAATGCATGAAAGTATAACATTGTTATTGTTTCCATAATGTCCGATTGAGAAATTTTCTTAAACCTTTTTAAACTGTCCTAGCACCATTACTTTCTTTTTTTTATTTTGTTTTCATTTATGGCCCAGTTAAAGGGTGTGTGAACCCTTAAAATGCACCTCCTTATTTGGTCCTCTTTTGGTCTATTTAATATACCATTTGAAAGCGTTCAATTGTTCAATGAGTGCAAAAAAAAAAACGAATTCTGCCCAAAATCAGTTTAGATGATAGCTTTGTGTTCTCTGCCTGTGATGGCTGTTATCAGTTACATTGCTTTCAGCCATCTCTGAGCACTACAGAACCCTTCCTCTCTTATGGGGAGCAGGAGGTCTCTGTAGTTATGCCCTAGGGTGACAATGCCATTTCTCGATAGCGAGAGTCCAGTAAGTAGTATTTTTCTTCCTGGCTTTAGCTACACTTTAACCCGTTTGCTGCAAGAGCCTTTTTTGCACACAACCACATTTTAGGCCTAATTACTTAAAACCCCACAGAATTATATATTGCAATTTTTTTGCTTTGCATATTAGCTCAACTGGTTTATCAAACCCAAAATTTCAGTAAAAAAAACAAGCTACTTTTTGTGCCTAAAAACACAATTTACATATAAAATATGAGGTTGTGCCGAGTAAATGCCAAACATGCCAAGCTTAAAATATTGTTGCCTCGTGAAAAAATACAGTACCCCTTATTTTCCATAGGCAACACTTTAAAAGCCTGTACAGGTCATCGATTTTAACTGTGAATATTGTTCCTAGAATTATAGCTCTCATTTTGGTGTATGCGATATCTAACATCTGGTGCATAAATCATTTTCGTACATAGGCGTACCCGACACTTGTTTGCATTAGTATGTGCGTGTTCGCAGGGATGGAGGACTTGGGGGAAATTGAAGGTGTTTTTTAAACGTATTTTCTTGAACTTTATTTTTTTTATTTTTTTTTTGCAATGCTATCACATAGTGAGCCTGTGAGACACCCAAGTAATAACACTTTAGTGATGACATTTGTTCTTTTAGAAGACAGATCACACATTTACCGGCCCATGGAAACGATCAGGCGGTTTTATACCTGCCCAAATTGCTTCCAGTGTAAAGCTGACAAACTGTTTACAGGGCCGCGCTGCTGCTGATGTATGACATGTGTCGGCGGCAGCGAAAAGGGTTAATGTGTTAATTCCACAGAAGGAGGATAAGTATTGGTTTCAAGTAGTGATGCATCAAAATTCGCATACTGTTTGCCAAATCTTGTCCATTTTTCTTTTTGTTGAATTGGGAATTTATTTGTGCGTGGAATATTTCATATCCATAGAGGTTTTGTTGTACGTGACAAGTCATTTGGTCCCTTTGTGGCTGGACGTACAGTGTACGTCTCCCGTCACGAAGGGGTTAATGTGATTCAACATTTAAAATATTACATGGAAATACAGCGATTTCTGAATGCTTTTTTTCAGGACTGAAAATGAAATGCTTGTTCCACCTGATCTGGAGCTTTTCATAACTATAACCACCAGCAACAAATCCCAGCTGGCACTTGCACCATAGAGAAGGCACACCCAGCTTGTCCTACATTGCGTTCAGGGATACCACAAACTCTATGGTCATTGTTACAGAATCTGTGTCATGTTTCTGTGGATACTCCCTCGTCTTGCAGTTCAAGTATATTTGAATCCATTAATATAGAGTAGGTAGGAGTTGGAACCCCTGTCAAGATTTGTATTCTTGCTTTTGTCCCTGCTGGAGAAATGTATCCCATTTGTCCAGGTGACCATTATCACCGTGACAAAAAGAAAATCTAACATATTGAGTTTCCAACTGAATAAAAATAGAGGGGAAGTTTCCCAAAAAGCATACTTTCTGTTGACAAGTGTCTAAGGGCATTTCCTTTACTTTGAGAGATTTCTTCTCACTTCCTGCTGTGTGTAGAGCACAGAACCTAAAGTGAAATCTCCCCAATTGGACTCGGTTGGCCAAAGAAAAACTTGGCAGGGGATTTAACCATCATCTACAGTCTTGGTGCCAAACCTGCTGCTTCTCCGCACTTACTTTGGGGCCCCTGTAGATGCAAGTCGGCATTTTGGTATTTACGCATATCTCTAAAGGAACCTTATTCTTTTAACTGGCTTCTAGTGGGTAAATGGCCTGGCTTATTTCTTTTGCACTCTTCCTTTTTTCTGCGCTGTCCATCCATCCTTCCTCTTTCCTTCCCCCCCCCCCCTCCATCTGATCTGCTTTAAGAGATCCTGATGAGATGTATCAATTCTGGCACAAATGTAGAATCTGTTGATTAATGTCATAAGTAAGGGGCTGTAAGAGAAGTGAACTCGAGCAGTCTTGTATGACATGTCTCCAGCCAATGACTGTGTCCCAATTCTCCAATAACTCTTAATGCATGTTCCCAGTCTCCATTTCCTCTTGCATGTCTGAAGCCTCTGACCGCTGTATGTAGCATTACATTTGCTGATTATTATATAGTCGTTTGGTGATGTCAGTGGCTGCATTTGAGGCCCACCTATATCTAGTAAGTTGCCTTTTACTGCTCTGCTCTCTCCAACAGAAAAGATTTGGCTTAAATTATACTTTACTGTAACTATTAATCCATCAATATGACTGGTAGCCTCTTTAGCCAGGTGTAGAGGTGGAGCTAAGTTGGGACCATAGAAGTCTGTGCTGTTACTGGGGTTCACAGGAACTCTGAAGGACAACAAAGCTGGCCTGCAGGTTCTCAATATTATCTGCGTTTTGGCAGAAAAGCCAGCCCAGAGATTTGTGATGGGCACAGGTTCACTTTAAGACCCCGTTCACATTGAGCGATTTATCGCGCGGTAATTCCCGCGATATCAAGCTCCAATGCAATCCAATGGGCCAAAGGATCCTGCTGTCGCGGGTTGTGTTTCGCTACAGCAGGACCCTTTTTGGAGCGGATTTAGCCGTGATTCAAGCTTGCTCAATGCAAGCTTGAACGCGACATCGCGTGGCAAATCGCGCGACAAACGCGCGATTTGCATATCGCGCAGTGGGAACGGGGCCTAAGGGTGATTAATTGTAAACATATTTAATGCAACCACGCTAAAAATAGAGGGCAGCTGGTCCCCGTTGTATCTGAAGGTTTATTAAAGGGTTCATTAAAATGTAAGCAATCCTGCATTAGAAAATATGCGGGTGGCCAGTGTTTGAAAATGTGTTTGTCATTCATGGTGATCTGATAGGTAAGCAGATGTGATGTTTAAATCGCAGACCTGAAACAAGCATGTTGCCAGTGAGATTCAAAGTATTGATGACAGGCAGGTAATCATTTTGAGGTTGTTGACTACTGTATTTATTTATTTTTCTTCTATACAAACCTGCCAAAAAAAGTGATGGCAGCAGCTATTATCTTTGTGGTTGCACAGTGCTTAGTGTTCACAAATCTGCTTCCCTGTGTCTTTCATTTATTTTGAAAAAATACTTTGTCTTGCGATGGTTGTAAAGTAATTTAAAAAACGTACGATCTGCCCATCTTGGATAGGCAGATCGTACTTGCGATCATTGCAAGCCCGCCACGCTGAGGGGCGGCCTTCCGATGACCGCAATGCTGAACGGGCAGTGTGCGCGTGTGCACACCAGCCTGTTCGGCATTTGTCTCCCAAGCATGCCACAAACCAGACGAAAATCTTAAGATTTTCGGCTGGTTTTCGAACATGCTCCTTAGACAAAAGACAGTAAAAACGGTTGCACGCCTGCCATACACTTTGCGATTATCGTACGATGGCGGGATTTCCCGCGATTATCTTGCGATAATTGCAGTGTATGGGCACCTTTTTAGTCCTTCAGTGCTAACCCACAATGATATTTAGCATGATTATATATATAGGTGTGTGTTATAGATAGATATATTCAGTGTTTGATGTGGTGTTTTGGTTCCTCTGAAGCCACTATTCCTTGTACCTTTAGTTGTTTAGGTGATTTAATAATGAATAATGCAGGTCTCCTTAGTTCAAGAATTACTATACTGAAGAATCATCTGTTGCCTTTGTTTCAAATTCTGAATTGTATGTTTTGAGGCTCGTAAAGGTAAAGAGTATTTTCTCAAATTGTCTGAATGAATTAGTCACTGCAATGGAGATCTGTGAGGCCACAATTTTTTTGAAGCGACAAATTCTTTCAGAATAACAGGAAAAGAAAGTAAATGGCGCATGGACTGCAACCATTGAGCTAATGGTATCGCTGTGCTCTCTACTGAGTTTTGTGAGATCATAATTTAGAATGTACAGCAAGGAGGTCGGTATAGCTATGACTGTACAGCTTTCTTCTGCTTTGCTTTCTAGTTATCTTTACTGAAGAATTCTTTTGACATATATTCTAAAATGAATATAGTTGTAAATCTTTTCTCAATGGTTTGAACTACTTGCAGCTCTTTTGCTACTCTAAGTTAAGTTCTAAGACTTCCAGTAATGAACTTTAATCCTGTTCAAGACATGCTTTTAGTAATGTAATATTGGTGTTAACTCGTGTTGCATTGGCATTTATCACTCTACAAAAGCTTGTCATTTTATTGTGATGTTGTGTTTTTTTTCATTATAAATAATGCAGTCCTAAATTTTAGAATTGAACCTTAACCTTTTTACATGGAAATTATTTCAGTATGAAACGTCTTGTTTGTACTAATTTGCATGTTAAACTCTCTTCTCTCATTCAACAACATGTATAAGGTAACATCTCCATGTTTTGACAAAGAAACTCTTTCCTTTACAGCCAAACAGGCAAAAAATTAATGGCGAAGTGTCGAATGCTTATCCAGGAGAATCAGGAGCTGGGGAGACAGCTGTCCCAGGGTCGCATTGCTCAGCTTGAGGCAGAGTTGGCTTTACAGAAAAAGTATAGTGAGGAGCTTAAAAGCAGCCAGGATGGTAAGGGTTATTTAATGCATGAAATGTGTAATTTTAGATTTTAATTTGTGTTGTGCAGTCTTCTGTTGAAGCAGTGCCTGGCATTAAAACACCCTCTCTTCCATGGAACGCAAGTTACTAAAGTTTCTAAACTTTTCTCAATATTTAGTGGAAATTGATAGCTTTACATTAGATTTTCTAAAGCATAACGAAAGAGGCGTTGCTTTAGTACACTAAATTTCTTTAGATATTAAACAAATGTGCATTTGTTTATGTAATCTGTTTTACATACTATGTTGTACTGTGCACATACAGCTGTTTCATCCAGTGCCAAAACGTAATTTTTTTCTTTTTTTTTTCTACGGGAGACGGTACTTAAATTGGAAGGCTCATCTACTGGTGGTTTGGTCCCCCTGTTGCTCAAAATGGATGTTTTACCATGTTTTCTTTACATTTTTCAGACACTGCCTATCTCTCCCTAAAGCCTACTTTTGTAAGCTACAGTCAGTGTTTTGGCGCTACCTGTTGTCGCATTCTACCCCCCCTTATCCACTACAATATTCTAGTCTGTCAAAAACAATCCGGGGGTTTGGTCTTCTTTGCTTGGAACTCTACCACTAGGCCTCTATTATCTGACTGAATCTTTCATGCCAGAGACGAGCTGTGGTTGGAGTTGGAGGATTTGTTTATCAGCAGTTCCACTTTTGACATTTGCCATGGGTTTTCCCTCAGGATCGTCCTTTCCACTTGGCCTTTTGAGATTCACATTTCCAGAAAAAGCCTCTTTCTTCCTATATAGGACCATTGTCCCCCATTTTGAGCTGTCCTGCCTTTCTGTCGGGAATCGTTGTGACCTCCTTTCTATGATGGACAAAGGGTGGCCTTTCCCATCTAGGGAAGACACTCCGGTGATGGTCGATCAAGCCCTATTTCTGATATGGTGGAGGGTTTGTGCCCTTGCCAGTACTTTCAGCTGTGGGGTATTGTTAGTTGCCTTGCTGTGCCAGGCACTGTGTTTAGGGAACCAACCCTTTTCCATTTAATATTTTATTGAAATTTTTTTTTTTAGACAAGACAGAGCAAAAAAAAAAGGACAAAGATGAAAAAAACATCGGATAGCTCATATAATACATATAAACATATATACAAGACAGGTCGCGTATTTACCAACCCCCTTTTGAATGTTTTTGCCTTCAGTCCTGAGCACCCTTGCATGTAGTTTCCCAAATATGGTTTTCTTTTAGATCAGATTGTCTCCTCCTGTCATTATCTCTCGGTCTAGAAACAAAACCTACAATGTACTCTCACCCCAGTTAATTGGGCAAAAAAATTTCACATTGACTCATAAACTGAACATTGTCACGGTTACTCAGGAGAAGAGTTATAAAATATTGACACTGGTCCATATGCCCTACCACCCTTAAGAGAATATTTCTGGATGCCTCGGACCGATGTTGTGGTGCAACCAGGGGTACTACAGTATGCAATGCATTTTGTGGGCATGCCCCATGGTGTCTGCCTTTTGGTCACAGATCTCTTTATAAACTTTAAACGGATAGCCTTCCAGGTTCTATCTCAAAAGGCTCTGCTATGCCTTTTTTATGGCAGCCAGATTAGTGTGATATCTAGTCACTGGAGATAGTCTCCCTGGATGCTAATGGGGGCACAGAGGGCTTCTTAAACGTATGACGACACAGGCCCTTGAGCAGAATGGCAAATGCTCTATGTATACAATTATTTGCCTATGTTTGGCCACCTTTAACCAGTTAAGCGCTAGAGCTATTTCAGCTACAGGGCTTATTACTTTGGCAATAACTTTACTAATGATTAACATTGACAAACAAAGAGTGACCACCCTGGTATACCCTCACTCATTTGCCAGCATGCAACTCTTTTTTTTTTTTTCTCTAGTTTTTTTGTAGGTTGGATGTTGTTTCTTTACTGAGAGAACCATTTTTTTCCACCTTTTTTATATTTTAAGATCTTTTTCTTTTTTTTTTTTTTCTTCAGCCAAGATTTTATCTACAACTTGCTTTAGCTCCTTTTTTATGCAGTTATCCGGGTTGGTGTATACTCAGCTACTTGGCTTTTGAGGCTGTTCCTGGACCCAACTGTACTGTAATGATTGCATGGCCTGCCTGGATTGTGACCTTCAGGCACTGGGCCCTGCAGCATGTTCCAGTCTCTAGGCAAACCAATTTGCCTAACACGAATGACGAAGCTGTCTCTGACCCAGTGGCTTCGGAATCCAGCTCTCGTGTTGGATAGATGCGTCATGGTCTCTTCCCAATCAACTGGATCTTCTGTCTCAAGGAACAGTTTGGCATCCTGCTTTCACAGTCATTGGCCTTTACAGAATGGCTGTTGAAGCTCAGGCCTCTCTGATCTCCACAGTGTTAAAACCAGGAAGCCCACATCCCGGAAGGTCTACCATCACACAAGGCATACTTCTCTTGTGAGAAAATACATTTGCATTTCAGAAAATATTTTGTATGATGAGGCTTTTATTTTTACAATCTGGATTGGATCAGCAATTGGCTCTAAGTACGATCAATGGCTATTCCCCTATTCACTTACACACAAGGCTGCGTTCCCTCATCACTGCCAGGCATGTGTCTGAATTGTTAGCTTTTGTCCTGAAAAGAACCTTTTCTGATCTTACCCAAGAACAGAATTGTATTAGGCCTTAAGCCTCTCCTTCTTTCCCAAGGTGGCTTCTGCATTTCACCTCAACCAGGACATTGTGTTTCCATCTCTGTCCTGCCCAAGTACTACAGATGATTTCCCTTCAGCCACTACTTCCATTAGGATTGACTCTCTTAGTTATCCCTGATAATTCCCCAAGGGGGAGCTTCCTTCTCATTCCACCATTTCTAGGTGGCTCAGTCAATCATCATTCAAGCTTATGGAGGTAAAGTAGTTCAACTTTTGCTGTCAAATTTTAGAAACCCAGACTATAGGTTTGTGTTCCCGTTCACACACCATACCTAAACAAAACAAAAAAACCATCTATTGCACTTTAAAATTGTTTAAAATAGCTTGCAAACTGATAAAGTGCATTGGCATACAATGTATGCCAATGCACAACTGCTCAAACAAATTAAAGGAACACTTTGTAATCAGAGTATAGCATCAAGTCAATAAAACTCCTGGGATATTGGTCAGTTAAGTAGCAGAGGGGGTTGTTAATCGGTTTCAGCTGCTTTGGTGTTAATCAAATTAACAGGTGCACTAGATGGGCAACAATGAGATGACCTCCAAACCAGGAATGGTTTTACAGGTTGTAGAATGTGCTCTGATTTGGGGGTGCCCTTAAATTACTGATGAACAACTGAATCTTAAATAAGTGTCGGGTTTATTTACAAATAGGGATATACATACATATTACAATTAAGGGAATTTGAAAGGGGAATTGGGGATAGGAATTGAGGTTAAGGATCCTACAGCTAGCTACACCATTCTCTCTCTCTCATTCACACAAGCCATGGGTTTTTCTCTGTTCTTCGGACACGCCTCTCCAGCAGGTCTCAGCGAATCACATTCTTGATTGCAGAGTTCAGAAAGACTTGTCTTGTCCAAAGGTCTTGCTTGTCAGCTAGGTTAGTGTCACACAGGAAGAAGGTTCCATCATATGCCCCTGCCCCCATCCCAGCATATATGCCTTGCTGACACAGGTGAGGGCAGTAAATACCAGCAGGGGGTCGGGCTTGCCCCAGGACATGACAGTCCAGCAGATCTCCTTTGATCAGTGTCCAGCCCCAAGAACCCTTTGATGGTCTTCATTTGCATATCAAACAGCACGGGCAGCTCACGATATTAAGGAACCTTTCCATCAAAGATGTATCATAGATGTCAATTATTTTAGCTTCCAACACAGGTGGAGGCCACTGACCTGACCTTTTTTTCCCTACTCATCTTTTCTGACCACTTGTTTTGCATTTGGCTAGAGTCAGTGTCACTACTTGGTAGCATGAGGTGATACCTGGACCCTATAGAGGTTGCACAGGCATGCCAACTCCTTCAGGATGGCACATCAATACATGCCATTGCCAGAAGGTTTGCAGTGTCTCAAGAGCATAGAGGAGATTCCAGGAGAGCTGGACAGGACCGTAGAAGGTCCTTAACCCATCAACAGGACCGGTATCTGCTCCTTTGTGCAAGGAGGAACAGGATGAACACTGCCAGAGCCCTACAAAATGATCTCCAGCAGGCCACTGGTGTGAATGTCTCTGACCAAACGTCCTCTAGTGGGCCCTGTGCTCACTGCCCGGCACCATGGAGGTCGATTGGCATTTGCCTTTGAACACCAGAATTGGCAGGTCCACCACTGGCTCCCTGTGCTTTTCACAGATGAAAGCAGGTTCACCCTGAGCTCATGTGACAGACGTGAAAGGGTCTGAAGAAGCCATGGAGAACGTTATGCTGCCTGTAACATTGTTCAGCATGACCGGTTTGGTGGTGGTCTAGTGATGGTCTGGGGAGGCATATCCATGTGGGGGACGCACTGACCACCACAGGCTAGACCATAGCACCCTGACTGCCATTAGGTATCGGGATGAAATCCTTGGACCCATTGTCAGACCCTACGCTGGTGCAGTGGGTCCTGGGTTCCTCCTGGTGCATGACAATGTCCGGCCTCATGTGGCGAGAGTATGCAGCCAGTTCCTTGAGTATGAAGGAAATTATACAATTGAATGGCCCCCACGCTCGCCTGACCTGAATCCAATAGAACACCTCTGGGACATTGTCTCTGTCCTTCCGACGCCGCCAGGTTGCACCTCAGTCTAAGAGCTCATTGATGCCCAGATCTGGGAGGCGATACCCCAGGACACCATCCGTTGTCTCATTAGAAGCACGCCCCGACGTTGTCGGGCATCCATGCAAGCACATGGGGGCCATACAAACTGAGTACCATTTTGAGTTGCTGCAATGACATTTCAGCACAATGGACTAGCCTGCTGCATCATTTGGTCACTTTGATTTTTGGGTTGTCTTTGAATTCAGCCCTCTGTAGGTTGATAATTTTTCATTTCTATCAAACAATGTGGCATCCTTTCGTTCCTAACACATTACCCAGTCCAGTATACAGTAGATATCCAGCATGATATTGTTCCCCATTGAGATCTGATGTGTTTTCAAAGTGTTCCTTTAATTTTTTTGAGCAGTTTACTATCCAAGCCTTGAGATATTAAACCCTTTGCTAGGACAGTTCAAATCTAGTTTGGTTTAATTATGGCAAACAATAACTCCCTAGACCCCTCAACATTACATACAGGGATTGCTAGGTAGAAATGTTTAGACAATAAAAAAGGTTAATAGCTATTTTTATAATTTTTACATGTCGCTATTCACATACATTTATACTATGTGTTATCCCAGTTTGGCAGCAAAATGTAAATGCACTTAAGCATCAGGTTCCACTCTCTCCTGTTAAGGCACACTCTGCTAGATCTGTGAGTGGGCTTTTTTCCGCATCCCAGCGACTGTTGCCCAGATTTGCAAGGCTGCCACGTTGTCTTCTGTTCACCTGTTCTCTAGGTTTTACCAGGTGGATGTTTAGGCCTTATCTGATGCTAGCTTTGGGCAAAGGAACTTCATTGAGGGACACAGGACACCCCTCCGTGTTTCTGGTCTTGCTCTTGGCACTGCTTGTTACAAAATGGAGTCATGCTGGGACTAGGAGGGATTACCGTATTTTTCGCTCCATAAGACGCACTTTTTTCCCCCCCAAAAGGAGGGGGGGAAAGTGCCTGCGTCTTAAGGAGCGAATCCCGACGCCCGAGACATGCAGTTTCGGGCGCCGGGCGAGTAGTAGGAGCCACTGCGCGTTTAATACGAGTGATCTAAGGAGATCACTCGTATTAAAGCCGAGCGGCGGCGGCGATCGAGTTCAGCAGCAGGAGCCACTGCTCGTTTATTACGAGTGATCTAATGAGATCACTCGTATTAAAACCGAGCAGCGGCGACGATCGAGATAACCATAGAGCAGACGAAGAATAGACGTTCTTCGCCTGCTCTGTGTCATCACTGAGACCGTGGCGCTGTAATCACAGCGCCACCTGTCTCAGCGGTCACTAACTGCAGCTTCTGTCACAGCTTCTGTCATAGAAGCTGTGTCAGAAGCTACAGTCTCGAGTGCTCCATAAGGCGCGCCTGACCTCCCTGCGTCCTATGGTCCGGTGCGTCTTATGGACCGCAAAATACGGTATATCACACTGGTCACTGTTTGTTTTTTTTTGCTTGCCAGTGTCCAAATCCTCCTGTAGGTGACAATATAACCCAATTGTCTATGAATCCTGTGTCTCTCAATTAACTTCCAATAGATTTATATGAGTACGAAAATCCAATTTTTTAATATATATATTTTTTTCCAGTTTGACCGGTGATAATTACTTTACAAATGCATTCTGCAACTTGTACCCTGTATCTTGATCCAAAATGATGTTTCTGGTACAAAGCATGGTGAAGTTAATTAATTTAAATGTAATTTTAAAACACCAGAAAAAAAACATGCTATCAGTATTTCTAAAATGAAAAATTTGAAAAACCCTAATGGCTGGTTAGTGATAATAAGAGGGTTAAATAAGTTTGTTTTTTTAAACTTTTTACTACCTTCTGCTGAACTTATGCAACTCCTGTGTAAAATTAAATAAGAGTGCTAATTATGCATTGTAATTTGCTGCTTTTGACAGCTGCAGCTAATAGATCAATTTTTGTTTTAAATCAACTTAGCTGGTGATACAGGATGTTTATCTGTTTGATGTTAATATCCAGACCATATTCGGTATATCAGAGTTGATGTCTTTAAATCTCATCTGTAGCCACCCCAATAAAGCTATATTTATATTTGTTACCCAGTTATATTGTGAAATGTATTTATTACCATTGAATACAGAGCCTTTGTATACATTACAATCACAATACAATTCAAGACCAAGATGATGAGGAGGACAGTAGGAGAATTTCAGATAGTGTTAGTCCAGCTGCATTACATGGCATTTTCTAGATGACTAAGGTCATTTAAAAAAAAAAGGTTTGCACAATTGGAATGTAATGACAGGTGGGACATTAATGCCAAACTTGTAATAAAGCAGTTAAACAATGATGAACAAATGTGAAGTGCAATGCTTTGTACATTACTAAACCATATTCCATCTTATCCCTTGTTCAAAAAGTAGTTTAGATTTTGTTTAAAGGGTTGGCATAACTGTGTTTTGTTTATTTTCTTTTCCTTTTAAAAAGTACTCCTTTTTAATCTTATGCCCTTTGTTTTCTGTAATACAGAACTGAATGACTTCATTATTCAATTAGATGAAGAGGTTGAGGGAATGCAGAGCACTATTTTGCTCCTACAACAGCAGCTGAAGGAATCCCGTCAACAGCTCTCTCAGTTGCAACAGCAGCAATCTCAAAATTCAGCTATCAGGACTCAAGCAGAGCCCAAGGAAGAAGGGGAATCTAGTGGCAAGGATTGCAGTCGCTTGTCAAATGGACCAAGCAATGGAGGTTCTTCTCACCAGAGAACTCACAGCTCTACAGGGCTTTATAGAGAGAGTAGCAATGCAGAAGGTGACTTTCCTGCATCTCCAGTGAATGAGGGCAAGTTGTCAAACCACTCGGAGGAGAGAACTGGTAGAGGGGGAAGCAGCTATATGAATCCACTCAGTACTGGTTATGAGAGTGTAGACTCGCCCACTGGAAGTGAGAACTCTCTCACCCACAACTCTAATGACACAGACTCCAATCATGACTCTCAAGAGGAGAAACCGAGGAGTGGGAAAGGCAGCCGAACTGTAAGCTCCCGTCACATTCAAAATGGCTTGGATTCTGGAGCGAATATGCAGGGCTCTGTTTTGTAAAAATAAGAAAATGTTTTTTTTTTGTTTTCTTTTTTATACATCCTTTAATTTCAGAACTAATACTGTTCAGTGCATATTTTGTCATACTTTTTTTGCCTTTTGAGTTTTTTGTTTTTCATTGTTGCTTACTGTAATACCTCTGCCAATCTGGATGTTTTAACAGATAATTGCGTTGAAAGTTGTAAAGAAAAATTTACATTTGTTTAGATTATTTTTATGTAAGGTAATAAAAAGCTGAACTAATTTAAAACTTGGAAATTTCACAAAAATGATATCTGTACAACGTGTACCCAAAACCTTTGCTGTGTAATGGCATTCCTACCCATGTTTTCATCTTACCTAGACATCAACAATCTTCCATGGTACTGTGTGGGTTTGGCTGCCAAAGTTTGCCCAGTGACCTAGCTATACCACAGGCTGGACTATTAGAGTCCTCTGGTAGTTTCAGTGTTAAACACAGTTGCTTTCTTCAGTAAAAACATTTGTTCATGGCTGATTTTTCCTTCTTTAGATGGCTGAACGTTAAAGACTTGTGTGCCGTTGCTCAGTTTTCAAACTGTTGTACATTGTTTATGCATATGACTCTGTGACTCTAATATTACCTTGCCTGTACTGACCAAACCAAAATAAAGATTTTTAATGTCACCTTTACACAACCATTTTGTGCATTCAGTAACTGAAACAACAGCCTAAAATCTCATGGGCAAAGAGTTCGTGCCATTATGGAAACTTCTGTCACCGTGGTATTCTAGGGACGTGATAAGTGAAGGATTTCTGAGGTTGCCACCTTGACTGTAGACAGCAGAAACACATTTAGTGCATCTGCATTCATTACGTGCAAATAGGCAACGAACCTCCCCCCCCCTCAATCATGAAGCTTTTAATGATTTTGAAAGTGTGTCCATAAGCATTGTCCTGTTTGTTATGTTAGTACATAAAAACCTACTTTATATTTCTCATGTTCCTATTCACGTAGCATAACATTAAAAAAAAAAATTAGTAATTGCAGCTTACCTTTTTTACATGCTGCAAAATCCTACTTTTGTTCTCACTGTTGGGTGACTTGTGTTTACCATAATTAACCCTGCCATCTCATCACCAAAGTAGATGAGTGGGATCAGTAGATGCCTGATAACTGTAGTTTCTGGTTGCTCGAGGGTTAATAGTAACTCTCAAGCAACCCCTGTGGTGCCAAACTGCCCCATTCATCTGCTTGCTAGATTCCGCAGCTGGCAGGTGAATGTAGACCGCAGGAGTTTACTGTACACTTTAAAAGCCTACTGAAAAGTATCGTTTGCTATTGCTGACATCTTTCTGAAAATGTGTTACCTCTTTGTCATGCTGATCCAGTGATTCCAGTACTTTTGAACCTTTAACCAAAAGCAAGCCTGCAAATCAAGGTTTCTGACATTGCTTGATTCTTGATGTTTTGGGCCATTGTCCTCGAAAATGTTGAAGCCAAAGACAACCAGACACCCAGCATCTGCAGGAGGTCCGCAACAAGAGCACTTCATTTTCGCTGATTGAGGGACACAGGAATTCAGATAGTTGGATTATACTGCCACCTGCAGGAGGGTTGGACTCTGGCAAAAAGAAAAATCGTAAGCCAGGGCCCAGTATAACTCCTCTTCTACCCAGCAGTGTCCGTTCTAGGATTCTAGGCTCTTCTCTAGCTTCAACCAACTTTTTGTGCTTTGCTCTTTTTTTTTTTTACTTTTTTTTTTCTTCCATGGATTCTTCTCCTTTTGACTTCAGCCAAGATTCCCCGCTACATCTAGGATTGTGCTGATCTCTGTACAGCAACTGTCCAGATCACTGATTCCTCAACCCAGCTTTGGCGGTCCCTGGCACCCGGACCCTTTTGGACTGAACATGTGGGGCTAGTCTGAAATGTGACCTTCGGGCACTGGATTCTGGTGATGGTAAAACCTCCATGAACTTGTTTTACCACTTCCTGACCAGGCATTTTATATAGTTACAAATTATTTGAGGATGAATAAAGACACTGGTCTATCAAGTTCAACCTATGTGAGTGTGTGTGCCTGTGTACATTAAAGAGTACCTGTTAATTAATTTTATATGCAAGAGTACTTTACCCCTTTTATGTTTTGTTCTCTGAGGAAAGTAAACGGCTCATGAATGATTCAGTACTTACTGCTGATACCACTGCTTGTAGGAGGGAGTTCCACAACTTTACCGATCTAACAGAAAAAAAATCCCTTCACCCTTTTTGGTCAAATGTTTGTTACTAATATTACCATCACCATTAAACAATTCGTACAATGAATTGCCTCGAATGAACAAGTTTAAATATTGCAATTTTTCCTCATAGCTTTAGGTCCACCAGCCCCTTTACCAGTTTTGTTGTCCTTCTCTGGACTCTCTCCAGTTCAAGGACATCCTTTCTGTGGATTGGTGGCCAAAATTGAACCGCATACTTAAGATGAGGCCGAACTAGTGTTTTGTAAAGTGGCAAATTTGATTTGTCGCTACAGTACACTCCCTTTTTTATGCATGAAACTAGTCTGCTAGCGTTATTTGCTGCAGCCTGGCATTGCATGCTATTGCTTAGTCTGCAGTCAACAGTGACCCCCAGATCTTATTCCACTTCTGACTTACTCTATGGAGCTCCCATTAACGTGTATTCTGCTTGCCAATTTTTTTTAAACCCCAAAATTCATTATAGTTTTTAACATTAAACCTCATTTGCCATTATAGTTGCCCACTCCCCTATTTTATCCAGGTCCTCCTGTAATATTATAATTATGGATGCACCGATACCGGTATTTTGGTACCGAGTACCGATAATTTTTTTTCTGTACTCGCCGATACCAATTACTGAGTAACAGTCGCCACCTGGCTTCCTAAATAGCCGGGCAGCTTGTAAAGAGTCGCCACCCGGCTTCCCGATTAACAAAAAAGTCCCCTCTTACCTTAGTATGTGCAGCCTGTCATCCCCCGGGGCCCCTCCAGCGAGAACGCGGCCTTCGTCCGGTACCCGGCCGGAGCCGTCTAGCCGGCCAATCAGGATGACGTGGGAGCATGAAGCCAGCTTCCCGGCCAATCAGAAAGCAGGGCGTCGCGTCATTAGACGGCGCCTGGCTTCCTGATTGGACGGCTCGGGCTGGGTACCGGACGAAGGCCGCATTCTTGCTGGAGAGGCCCCGGGGGGATGACAGGCTACACATGGTAAGGTAACCTTACCTCACGAGGCCAGCTTCCAGTCAATTGTGAAACCGGGCAGCGTGTAATGACGCACTGCCCGGCTTCCTGATACCGGAAGTACTCGTACTAGGCATCGGAGCATTTGGGCGAGTACGAGTACTTGCCCAAATACTCGGAATCGGCACCGATATCGATACTAGTATCGGTGCATCCCTAATTATAATGTCTAAGCTCATGTCTATTACCCTCCCAATTCTAGTATCATCAAACACAGAGACATGGCTATTTACACCTTCCCCAATATCATTTAATAAACAGGTTAAACGGTATTGGTCCTAATGCAGAACCCTGGGGCATGCCACTGCCAACTTTAGACAAATTAGAAAATTAGGAATTTATCAGTTCTCTTGGGACACAAGCCTGTAGCTAGTTTACTATCAACGTAGAGACCATGTCATCAATGGATTGTTGCATGTGTAATAAATGTGTGGTACCTTTATCAATGCTTGTCCAAATTCTAGGTACACTGTGTCCACTGGCTTTCCTCCATCTAGGTTGCTACTCACCTCCTCCTAGAATATTAGTAGAATGGTCATAAGCCCATTCTGGTTGTCCCCTATTATACCGCTAACACAGACAAAATCTTGTAGATAGTCCTTTAACATCCCCTCAAACAATTTGCATGCTATTGATGTTAAACTGGCCAGTCTGTAGTTCCCAGGTAGGCATAAAGGTATCTTAAACCTTTTTTGAATATTGCTACCACCGTTGCTTTTTCTGTTGGTACCTTTCCAGTCAGTATGAGTCCCTGAAAATTAGGAACAAGGGTCTCGCTATAACTTGGCTGAGCTCCATAAATACCCTTGGGTGTAGGTTGTCTGGGTTGGAGGAGTTATTCACAATTTTTCTAGTCTTTGTTGAACCCCAACTATCACCGACCATTATGGTATATTACAAGCAGCTCACGTTCTTTTTATATCTATTAAACCCATTTTATTTTATTTCTTGTGATCACGCTCTCATGCACATCATTTATGGGACCTACCAGTTTTTTCCCCCACCTTTTTACTTTTTATTTATTGGAAGATTTTTTTGTGGTTCTTCCTATTCACTATTATTGCAATCTGTTTTTTTGTATTCTGTTTTAGCTGCCTGGATTGCCCTATTATATCTCCTATTGCATTCCTTGTAGCTCCTGTAATGCCAATGCTTTTCCTTCCATCATATATTTTTTAGATGTCGGCTTCCTCCCATTGATATATTTTACCGTCTGATTCATCCATTAGCCCTTGTTCTTTTATTTTTGTTGCCCAAAGGTATGCACTTGCTAATTTCCTTTTTTATAGTATATTTTTAAAACAGTCCCACTTCTGATTAGTGTTCTTTGTTAGAAATCATTTGCCCATTTGGTAACATACAGTAAGTAATGCAGCTTATCAAAGTTTGCCTTTTTGAAGTTTAGCATTCTTGTCCAATCATAATGGTTTTTATTTGATTTTTTTTTTTCTGTACCCTTCTTTAAATGTAATCATCCTGTGATCACCGTTACCCAAGTTTTCCGGAGTTGCTATGTCTTCACCTAGGTCCGTGTCTTTTGAAATTACGTCTAGTATGACATTCATCCTATTTGGGACTTCTACCATCTGATCCATGATATTGTCCTTCAATAAGTTTAATAAGTTTAGGAAGCACCATGCCTTGGTTGAGTGAGCGGTTCCATTAGGCCAAGCAATGTTGGGATAATTGAAGTTTCCTTGCTTGCCTGCCATTTCTATGGAGGATAGATTAATGAAGGTTAGACAGCAGCCGATTAAATTCATTTAATTTGATTGTGAGAGCGTTTCTAACCCTTACACCCACCCCATGTAAATCTCATTTCCAACTGCTGACATCCGCTGGGTTGAGTGTAGCATGTGTGCACTCCACACTCTTTTCCTTCCAGTCAGCATAAGAAGAACCATCCCACTGCTGCTTTCAAGAAACCATGTTGAGCTCCTGTATGTTACCTCCACCTGCCGGACCCACATCAGCACTAGCTGCCTTGGGTTTGTGAGTAACATGCCTTGCCTCATACTTTAGGCTTAGTTGCACTACTGCTACACAGTTGTAGCATCTCTGCACAAAGACACACGAGGGACAGTCCTGCACCCCCAACCTATAGAGGTTCTGGGTGTGCCTAACTCTATTTTCTGAAGGAACTGGTGCCTGTAATTATGAATCTGCACCAATTGTTATTGGGTCTTCATCTGAGTTAAGGTGCCCATACACCGATCGATTATCGTTCGTAAATTGTCCACAAGTGGTCTTTC